AACGCCAGACGCCTGACCATATATGTATCTCTCTCTCTCTCTCGCTCTCGCTCTCTCCTGGAGCACCAACCCAACCCACAAGGACGGAACGGTGGCATGGGAAAGATCCTGCGATCGGCTCCACTCTAGGTCCGTCTCTCAGAGCATTCCTTGTGCTACGAGTTGAGGCCGCATGGACTTGACCTGCTGACAGGTCTGTTGGTGAGGAGCGCCATCACTACCGCCGGCTGAGGGCAACCGCTAGACGGTCAAGCCGTTTTCCCAGCGATGTCAGCACTGTAGCTCAGTTCTTCTTCCGACGTGGCTAGCCGCAGGTCGCCTGCCATCATCGGGAATTGTCAAACTTGCCAACATCAGGAATTGTCAAACTCAAGTCATTTGGACAGCAATGAAAAGGGGCCATCATGGCTGATATGTACAGCAACGGGTCTTCTCTCGGAGGGAGTCCACAAGCGGGGGATTCCCCATTCTTGAGTACAGGACTAAAGAAAGACCTGCAGCCCGTTGCATGGTGCTATTGCCAGAATACCATCACTTATCGCTGGGGCCCCCTGGAATCCGTTGCCGGTGCTGTGAGTGTAGATCTCGTCCACGGAAGACACCTTTCCGTCCCCGTCAGCGTCCCTGAAGCGGTACAGGTGGCCGCTCTCTCCCACAACAAAGATGCTGCCGTCTCCGGCAATAGCTGGATTGGCAAAGGAATCTGGCAAACAGCTGTGCTCAAAAGTGTCGTTGGCTGCAGGCCCATACCAGTCTGGGAAGTCATAGTCCCACAGCGTGCGTCCATCCGCGCCATCCAAAACAACAAGCTTGCCGGGTTTCCTGAAATCGTCCGTGTTGTTATACTTTTCCAAATCTTTGGCCCCACCTCCTAGCAGAGCTACGGCCGGGTTTGGACCTGTTGGAACCACCACGAAGGGCCGGCTACCTTGCAAAGAGAGTGTAACAAGTCGCGGACGCATGCACCATACACAAGAGCATAAAGGGGCTCAGAAACAAGATGTCCTGCTTCAAGTCTGAACCCCCGACTACTCTTATCAAACACGTGATGTCGCTGGTGGTTGCAGTGTCTACATTCTAAAGTCACACAAAGAACAAGCACTGCACGCCGAGATGCCGGGTGAAATGGCGGCACCTGCATTGGCCGCATATGTTGTGTTTCGCCGCCACAGAAGCGAACCATCGCTGACCAAGTAAGCAGACCTTGGCTGCAACGCCAAACCTTTGCCCACTACACTCCGTGGACAGGGACAAGTACAGAACAGGCTTGCAACTGTTTCGGCAAGAGACACGAATCCGGACCTGAAGTTGGGGATCTCTTCGTGGTTGCTAGTGACATAGACGACCCCATTGGGCCCACTTGCCAAGCCCCCGGTCGTTGCACCAGTAACGCTAGGTGGAGGGACCTTCCAGATCACGGACCCGTCGCTAAGACTCAGACGGTATGTGCCTCCAAAAAAGTCTGCAAAAAGGAGCGACTGATTCTGAATAGAGCCGATCCAGTTGTAGAGAGGATAACGTGCACGGAAAGACCATAGCATGCTGCCGTCAGTAGCATTCAAAGCCACCACAGTAGTTGCTCCACCCAGAGATGTGCCTTCACCCTTTCCGAAGCATGAAGAAACAACGACACCCATGCCCGCAATCACTGACAAAGTGTCGGGCCCCGAACCATATCCAGCCTTCCGTTGCCACACTGTGCTTCCAGTCTTTGCATCGATAGCAAAAAAGGTACAGTCGTCTTGCAGGGTGTATATGTGCCCATAGTACACCGGATTGGCAAAAACATAGTGGTTTTTGAAGCCACGTTTCCATAGCTGCTGACCTTCTCGTGAGAATTTGAAAAGCTCGCCCGCGCTTGTCGAAACATAGATGTCCCCGTTGGGGTCCACAATCGGGCTTGAACGGACCAGAGCATTGTGTGGCGCAGTCCACGTCCAGGACGGAAATGTCAAAAGATGTGGTGGAACTGCAAAAGTGGAGCCTGACCTCGGAGGGCATGTCAATACCACAGCTACCTGTACACCCGATGTAGCCCTGGAGTAAAGCACTTACTGACTTCCTGTGCAAGAAAACAAGAAAGCGGCCTGATACTGTTGCCGTTCTTCCCGATCCATTCCGCAAAGTGCGCAAGGGAGCGGCCATCCTGAGAAGCACCTCGTGTAGCTCGCGATACGGACAGGCTGTGCTGCAGAAGCTGAAAATTTGGCAAGTCGGTCTCGTCGTCGCCATCGCAGAGCTGCGTGTCATTTGACGCCCCGCATGCAAGGCAAGCAACGATGGCAGTGGCCACTGCGCGAAGTTGCACTGCCATTGAATATGCAACGGTTCAATGCTCGCAAACTTGTAGCCCGGTCCAGCGGTAAACATATGTGGACATGCCGCGCACTCCAATCTCTGATTACGAGCAAACAAAGCAAGCACAAATTAGTCTGAAGATACCTGGAAGTCCGAAGGCTCCCAACAAGAGGTCCTGCTTGCGCAACTCCATGATGTGCTCAATGGCTCTGATTGCGATGATGTGTGCACGCTCCTGCTGCTCATGCGAACCGGCACTGATGGCGCGGAGCTGCTGAACACAATGCTGACCCTCCTCAAAGAACATGGAGGCAGATGCCTTACATTGAGTTTCACGTGATGCATGCTCTCATCAGTCGTGCGATGACGCAGCAAGTGCCACTTGGTTCGAGGCCGGAAAATGGGTCATCCAAAACTTGCACGACTCCCGGTCCTCTCAAGCATCTTGCGGTAAAGAAACTCCGGGTAAGGAATATACACGTAGGGCAAGCTCTCAACTCTCAACAGGAAAATCCAACACACGAAACGATGGTCGTTGTCCTTGTAATTTTTTCTGCGCCAAAAAGCCCAATAAACTTTCAAAGCTTCCCTCGGATGCGTCCACAACATCCATGCCACGTGCACCTGGCGATCTCTGCCGCAGCCAGAAACCCTACGGCGCCTCTGCTCCAGCATGCCACTTCAAGCAACAGGCACAGCATGCCACATATGCCTATATAGCATGACTACGGAAACATCCAAAATCATCCAAACACTTCCAAAATCAAGTTGAAAAACCGTCTGCCACGAGCGTAAAGCCTGATCTGTGTAGACCGATCGCCCAATTGGCTTTCGTGGACATTTATCCACCATACCAGCCTCAGAACAAAGTTGAATTTAGTGGTCATTAAAGCAGTAGCCACGCGCCTGCATGATCGGGATCATCTCACAATGCCGGATTCCTTCCAACTGCCGGCTTGGGGTCAACCTCCATATCGACTCTACTCCCGACATGTCCCGTCACGACTCACCGGCTCTGTCGCGCCGCATCTGAAAGTTCACAAACATGCACGGGGTAGCACATGCTCACCGGCCTTCCATCTTTGGTGCGATGATCTTGCTCCAAGTTTTCATACCTTCTTTCCGGAATCCCGAACAGCAAAGTGTACCTTGACACACCAGTGTCACACCAGAAGCAGAAGAAAGAACAATGCAATACAACGCGGCACTTTGGGCTGTGATCGGCAATGCGCTCCACCATCTTGAGGGCTTCTTCGGCACCGTCCTACTGGTGGCATTGAAAATCGTGTGGTTTCTCCTTGGCACATTCTGGGCCTGGCCAAAGAACTTGCCCTCGTTCAGCCCCGCCACAAATAAGGTCTGTTCTGGGGTCGAGTTCTGCGCAGGTACCTGGCGTTCTGATATGGGTAATGGGAACAATACAATTTAAACCAGCTGCGCACGGTAAAAGCAGTGGTTGCAAACCCGCGCCAAGTGCGAGAACTCTGCCACGCCTCGCATTCACTTCGACTGCATGCAATAAAGCTCTTGATTGCATTCGCTTTGTGCTTTGACAAACTCTCAAGCAAGTCCAAGCATGTGGGGTCGCGGCTGGCCGAGAAGTCCCGACGACATGTCTCAACATGGCCATGCACACCAAGTCCACGACGCAACAGTTGAGGTGAGCTGTCTATATTGGTGGACTTTGCTCCGACATGTCATGTGTGTTTGCAATTTAGCTTCGTCGGCGTCTCTTCTGTTCGCCCTCTGCGGGTCCAGCTATTTGCCACACAGCTGCGGGATCAGTGCGTGCTGTCACCTTCGAGATGCACGAAGATCCGGAACGGAGCAACACGCGTCCTGAACCCACTACAGCCTTCAACTCTAGCGTCCAACCAACCACTTCAATTCACAGCCTCTGTTCGCGAACGGGTTCCAGCTGTCGGGCGGCAGGAGCTGGGTTATGATTCGAAACAAAACGCACGCTATTGCGTAGCACCATATCAAAAAATCTGCTCGAAGTGCCGGACGGCAACATTTCATGTACCAAATTGCGCCAATCGTCGGCGGAAGATCCAAAGCAAGCGAACGAAAAAACAGCTGCTTGGTTGAAGCTGTTCGACCCCTTGGCAAGCGGAAGATTTAGAAATTAAGGTGTGGGATGGCTTCTTTCCATCAATCCAGACATGCTGTCGGCTCAACAAGTGTGCGTGGGCCGCGCAAATGGAAGCCTAGGCCGGGCAGCAAATGGCCCAGACGCCCGGCGCCCTGTCCTTGCGTGCCGGGAACACCATGGACACCTGCACCGGCTCGATGACTTGCTCGGCTTGTGCCACTTCCCGGTTTCCTTGCTTCCGGCTCTTTCCGCTTGAGCATGCTGTTGCTCACATAGACTCGCAGACACAAGCAGGAATGCCTTGTCAGCGCTTTACTTAAGTTTGCCGCACGGGGGTGGGAAAGTCGCCAAGGGCTTGTTTTGTTTTTGCACGTGCAAGACGTAGCCCGCCGTAGCTGCCGAGAACTCCCCCAAGTTTCCAAAAGTCCAAAGAAGCCCATGTGTGCCGCTCGTTGTGGTCGGGATAGAGGTCGCTGGGGGTTTTAACGCGGCCCGGCTGCGGCTGCGGAGATTGTCCGGGATGCTCGCTGTTGGTGCGGATGCAATGCTTCCCTGCTTGAGCTTCCGCCCAGTGGTAGGGCGTGTCTCACAGGTGAGGAGTCTGAACTTCCTGAACTGCACGAGTGCGTGGCAGCCTCTCGTTGAAATGCAGTAGCTGTTTGGGCTTCTGCCCCAAACTTATCCCGGACTTCGACGGCAACGAGGCGGCAGCCCCGCGTGCACATCAGGTTTGGGTGCGTGTTGCCCTGGGTGCACTTCAACTGCGGACCGCGCTGAGCGTCACCAACTGTTGTGGGGCGAACATCGGACACCGGCACATCGAAAAATGTTCATGTCGCCCAAATGAGCATGGCGGGCTACCTTTCACCCGGTCTACGATGGTGCGCAACGTCGGGACAGGACCATCGACGTGCTGCTGGCCGAAGGATGCCGCATTGAAGTGCTGGCCAATAGCCGCCCCATGCACCAGGGTCGCCCACACCCTCGTGAGGCCGGCGACGGACCGAGTGCCCAGCATCGCTGCTGTATGCTGTACCAATGCAGCAAAGCGGAAGCGGCGAGAGACATACTCGGAACATATCGGAACTCTTGGCTTGCCACTTGTGCGGTGTGATAGCCGCCCCGTCACGATCCTTCACGAAAGCAGCCGCTCGTTTGGTCGTTGCACAGCAGACCGCTGTGCCTCTTGCAGCAGCACGACTCGCCCATCGTGTGCCTCTGCGAGCAGGGCTGCGACGCTCCTGCTTGGGATTCCCTGCTGCTGCCGCCGCCCGTGCACGAACAACGCGAGTTGGAAACTAGCCGCGAGGGCATGCGCGCGCTTGAGTTGCAGCTTGCGGACAGTGAGCGCTGCTGCGTTTGCGGGCCGGGCCGCACGCAGCGCGGGCTTTCACGGTTTTCGCAGTTGGCGGTGCCGTCGCCGCTTTTCCATGTGGTCGTTCCGCATGGGTGCTCCTGCATTGAACTCGTTGACCCAGTCGGCGACCACAAGGCTGCATGAAGGACTTCCGGTGTGCTCGCATCTCCATCTGTCCCTTTCAAGGACACGATCGCAGCCAGACGTTCATCCCGGTCGAGCTGTGGAAGGGGCACCTGGAGGCAACCGCCACCAGACCTATACCTCGAGCTCGTGAGCGTTCGTCGTTGGGGGGCCGCTTTGGTGCGGCGGCTGCCAATTATTCCCGCCGGGCAGCGTGCCTCAAACATGCAGGCGGCCATGCGAGCGGCTGCGCGGGCAGCGCGTCATTGCAGCATCTCTGTTGGTGCTCCGGCTCGCCGGTGAGCGCAATGTACTGGCGGCTCTCTGTGTGTGGCAGCCGCGAGGCCAGCATTGAAACCCTTATAGGAGCGCCCCCATGGGAGGAGATAGGTACTTCGAGACTCCTGGCATGTGGGAAAGGTGTGAGTAGGTGTGAAAAAATGATAGAAGGCTCGCCCTGGACGTGCATGAATACCATTGGGGTTGGGTTTGTAACTGAGGCTTCGTGTCGTGTTGTTGCCCGCGACTTCCACTAGTGTACCTGATGCACCCTCGCTTGTTGATCCTGCGTGAGTTCCGTCCAGGGCTTCTTACGTTCGTGCCCTGCAGTACGTCGACCCCACACCGCCGCATTGAATTTCCCCATCCAAAATACCGACTTGCCTCATTGCGCTTCAGACGCTAGGCCTTTGCAGCATTTGCAGCCTCGCCGTTGTTACAGTTGTCGTTGCCCTCCACGCTGCTTGCAAGTCGCTGGCCGGCACAGTGATGCCCTTGCCAGATTTTCGCATTGTTCTTCACATAAACCAAAGCCACTTTGCCACCGTGCACGGCCAGTAAACTTGCAGAATGCACACAGGCCTGAAATCATCAAGATGAGGTTGTCGTTGCCCAGGTCGCCTCGACTCGTGATCACCGTTCAGCGTGTGCAACGCGACGTCCGGTGTTTGGCATCGCCGAGCATGCAGTCACCCGCGTCTGTCGGAGTAGCGGCGCGCGAATTGCAAGCAACGTCAGGGTCGCCGACATGAGCACCGATGTGGCCGTCAGCGACAAGCTCCCTTGATCTGGTCGCCAACAATGTGCTTTTCTGGCACGGGGCGCAGCTCGCGCGTGATGCCTCTTTCGCCGGGTTCACGGGTCGGCGACAGTCAAAGCCGCCGCTGGATGAAGCATGCTGAAGCCGCCTCCTTTCACGGCACCGTGCTGCCAGCCTTCCGCCGACGCTCCGGGCCGCTGCTTCAGCAGGATAAGTCCAGCGATGGTCCGGCTTCCTTGCGGTCCGCCCTTGCGGCGTCACTACTGGAGCTGCCGCTCTCGCCGAAGTGCGAGGTGGTCGCACGCTGCCCGAAAAATTTTGAAAAGAAGTGCTACGGCCGGAGTGGAAACAAAGGCTTGATCCCCAAACGACTGGCCGCATGGCTGGCAATAATAGGCATCGCGCACCCGCTACAAGTATTTTCGCGAACGCATTTTACTGCCTTCCATGACGCCGGCCGCCAGCGCTCTCCTACGATCAGGGCGGCTCCGGTACGTCTGCCAGCCTCGCTGCATTGCGGACGGCCCAACCCGGGTGGTTGTTTGCTCCATCATGCGGGCGTCCATCTCAGGTCACCGGGCTGACGAGGGTGGCGTCAACGGCAAGCTGCACCCGTGCCAAAGCGGAAGTCGGCAGGCCGTTGCAGACGACCTCGATGCGCCGCCCATCGTGGACCGGCATATCGATGTTCATGGCTGCTAGCGCGACATTGCGCTATATTGCGCTCGACACGAACCTCGGATCGCCCGGCTTCCTGGCAGATGCGCGCGGGCGATGCCGCGTTCGAGGGTAGTGCTCTGGAGGCGAGCGCGCCTGATGTGGAGCACGCAGCCTGATGGTCTCCCGCACCGCGGGCAGGAGCAACTGCGCGGTTCCCCCGGTGTCACCAGCAAGCGGGAGCTCGAGCAGGAAAGCGGCGACCGCTCGTTGTGCAGCAACGGCAGACCCGACCACCGTGCAGCCCATGCCACCTCAAAGGCCCGGCGCTACGCGAGTGCCCGGAGCCAGGTGCGGGTGCACACCTCGCATGCTGCCTGATATGCACACAGCACGCCGCGACGGTAGCTCGGAGTAGGTCGCGGACCAACTGTGGACGGAATGTGGTGCGATCAAAAACATATGACCAAAAAACATTGCAATTGCATGTGTTCTGAGGCTATGGTCCGTTAAATGTCATTCCGTGTGCAGCTCATCCAAAATCCTGGCATTCCTGCTGGTTATGCGGGTTGGTGATGCTGCAGATTTTTCCGGCCACAAGCGATTGTGTTATGTTTTGGCAACCAGTCTTGTAATTGTATATCTGGTTCCGGCTACCGCGGTAGGAGCGCTGACATGCACGGCACCTGCAAAGAACGCACCCTTGCCACTCATTAACAACCGGCGTTTCCGCGACCGAGCCGTTTTTCTTCCGGCACGTTCTTCCGATGGTCCACCGCAAGGTGCCAAACTTCTAGCTCTGATGATGCCTGTGCACCCGGCGCGGCATCCGATGTGCGGGGCCCCAAACAAGGTAGCAGCAATTGAGCTGTTCACAGTGACAGCGCTGGCTAGGCTCGAAAGGTTGTGGAGACGCTGGGCTCCGACAGGCTGAGCGACAAGCCGGAAGGCTTCGTCTAGGGTAGGCACCGTGGCGCTGACCCCCAACTACGACGCCGGCTCTTTTCGGCAAGTTTGATGTTGTCGTTGCCGCGATGACATATTAATGGGCGTCTGGGCGCGGGGATGCTTATACCCGGTCTAAGCCGGTCTCGCACCCGACCTGCTCCCGACACCGGTTTTCACGTAGGTTGCTTTAGCCCAGCAGTAAACCGACCCCGCTGACGGGTGAGGATGGCTCTGCGCGGCAGCTGTGCCGCAGCCCAAAGCAGATTATACTGTAACTGAACAGTGCCTGGTGGGCCTTTACAATGCCAGCGGGAAGCCGCGCGACAAGCATGAATGTGCCGCTCGGACCAGCGCCGGCCCAACAGATGGACTGCGAGGATCACCGGCGTAACGACGTGAAAAAAAATGAGC